CCTCCGTGTGCCGGGGCTGGGGGCTGGGACCAGCCTGGGTGTCGGGGCTTCTTTTCCCAGCAGCCCTTAGGCTTAATTGTTTGCTATGTTTGGCAGAGGCGAGAGCTGCCATCGGCTTTGGGATCCTTAAAGTCGCTGGCCGGAGTTTGGGCACAGTATCTGTGAGACCAGGACATGAATTTTGCTTTTGAAAGCAATGGTACAGAAGTTTCATCCTCTTCCTCGTTTATGACTAAACTGACAAGCTGTATATGAAAGAGAAGCTAACTGGAGCTACTAATAATTTGACCTCTGTTTTTTGGTCCAAAAAACTTTTGGGTTTGTGTCCCAGATCTCAAAGAAGACAGACCCTCTTTTGGGTAGTGGCAGAAGGTTACACTGTTTCAGGATTTGCTCAGGTCAAAAGAGCCATAATACATGTACCAAAGTTTGATCTGCATGTTTTGTTTGCAGATCTAGCGGTTAAATCTGGATTGTCCCTGCAACAAATATAGTTTTGTCTTGAGTGTAATTTGTTTCCCTTCCATTTGCAGGAGTTATTACTGTTGGCGTAAGGACGTTGGTGCGAAGACATAGTGATAGGTAGGTCTTCATAGCTAAACTAACTCTCCTGTTGGGATGATGACCAGCCATAACTATCCTAAATACCAGATAGGTCTTGTATTTACAGCCATTCACAAACAATTCAGTGTATGGTATGGGTAATTTTAATCCTTTCTCTTTTTAAGGGAAATACTTGTACTGGCAACTGTCTCAGCAATCACAGGCTTAAATTTCTGTGTGACTGTAACTGGGGCACTTTGGTATTAAAGTTAACGTCATTCACCAGCAACGCACAGTGTTAATCTGAAGCACAGAGCATCAAGACACGTTTCAGACATTTGAGAGTTGTAGAACACTGGAACAGGTTGCCCAGAGAGGTGGTGGATGCTCCATCCCTGGAGACGTTCAAGGCCAGGTTGGACGAGGCCCTGAGCAACCTGATCTAGTTGGAGATATCCCTGTTCCTTGCAGGGGGGTTGGACTAGATGACCTTTGAAGGTCCCTTCCAGCCCTAACGATTCTATGATTCCTTTTTCTATAAAACACGTTTGTGGCAAGACGCGCACTATTGGTGTGTGACATGGCATGCTTTGCTTACTGAACTCTTCAGATACCTTTAAAGAGTATGTAGTATTGTGAGTTCAAAATACACAGCGCAGATTGATGTTTAACACCTGAAATTGTGAAGCATACAGCCATAGGTTGTCATGTAGTGTTCATGACTTCAGAGAAATGACACATTCTGGCTTTAAATGCCAAAGGCAGTTTGCAGCTAAAAGAAGCATCCGAACTGCCACTTGCTGAAATCAGGAGAAACGTACCTAGAAAAGTAATTTGTGTGCATACTCAAGTGTTATATTTTACCGAGCATCTCTTACTGCCCGTTGCCAGAAACTAGATACTGAGTTACGGGCATCTCTGGCCTGACTGAGGAAGGCACTTCTTACAGGCTAAAGGGGCAGGCACAAAAGCAGCAGTGGGCAAAGGATGTGGTCAGCTGTTGTTTTGGGCATTTCTGATTTAAACATAGTTTGCTTTTTCAGGAAAGCTTTATGTAAATATTTCTTGTTGAAATCTGCTTAATTTCTTGAAACTTCACCTTCATTTAATAACATGTTATACTTTCACCTTAATACCATGCAACAGGTTAATTAATCCTGTGCTCATCGATGTTTTGAATACAGTCAAATACTCCATGACCCTGCATTGGTAGGTCTTTCTGAGCTGTACCTGTCACCTCCAATATGGCAGCCGTGTGACAGCACTATATCCAACACACCACTAGCGGGGTTTGCTCCCAGAGTATGAATTACATTACCGAGTTATAAAACCAGGTATTTCATGGTCGTGCCTAACAATATGACGGACATCATCTCAACTTCTTCTGACTCCAGTGGAATTAAATGCTGTCATTGCTTTGATCAGATTTATTTATTTTCACTAATGCTTACTTGCCTCAAGTTGATTAAGAGATAGGTATGTTTTAGTGAAAGGGAGTACATCCATATTTAATTATCAGTGGGGAAATATTTTAAAACTGAGTAAAGGAAGTAATAACATTTATCAAAAAATAACTTTTTCATCATTAAGGGTCAGCATAGGCAAACAAATCTTTTCCTTATTTTAAATTCTACATTTGCTGGTGAGTTTCATATGTTCAGTTGCTTCCATATTTTATTTTTAAAGTATAATTTATAGAAGTGGAGTTATCACATTTATTTTCTGCTTCTTGACATGTTTCATGTTTTATGTAGTTTGTTTTAGAAGAGTAATTCAGCTGAAAATAAAACATACTCATTCTTTAATTTAGTGTCCCGGCTTGCAACATTGTTATGCTTTGTTTTCTATTTGTAGTCTAATGTTTCGTAAATAATTTATGAAAATGATTGAAGTTTCTGTCTTTGGCCAAACAGGTTTTTCATATTTGATAAACTAATACAGTTGGATAGTTTAGCCAGGGTTTTTCCCCTTGTTCTTCAGAGAGCATATGTACATGTTGCATATTAATAATAAGGTATCAGGCTTCACTCCTTACTGCTTAAAAAAGTATATTTACGTCAAGCTCTGAACCTGATTTCTATTTATGCTGAAGCTAGTTCGAAGAATCTTTTGTCATGTAGGAGTTAGTGAACATGAAAATGAAAAACATATACTTTTTCTGAAGTGGGAAGTGGAAGAATCGACTACCATGGACATAGATTTTTAAGTATGAGAAAAAGACATTGTGGCGACCTTGACAGTATCCAGATGTATATGGGAACGGGACAAAAAGTACGTTTGTATGTCATGAGAGTGAAGATGAAAGTTTTGAAGAGAACCGGCATGGGAAATGAGATGTTTGAAATGAACAAAGAGGAACAGCCCAGGAGTCTTTTATGTGTGCATGTGTTTTAAGTGTTACAAGTCACTGCAGTGTTTTACAGTGACCTCAGCGTGGAATATTCTTCTTCCTCCAGGCAGGCAGGAGAGAATACAACAGACTCACACACTTTGGTTGCCTAATGCCTGATCTTGCAGTCGTTGGCTCGCATGAGTCGTCCCACTGATTGCAATGGTACTGCTCATGTATGTAGGGCTTCTTGTGGACGGGTTGGTGGGAGCAAGGGTTTATGCGTTTGAGCTTGGTGTGGGCTTTGCAAAGGACAATGATTTGCCTTTGTGGTAGCTGCATGATTTGTGTTTTCTTTGAACATGGCCTGTCCCCATTTCTCCTTTCACGCAGTGCAGCTTGTCTTTAGAGGCAAAAAGTTGCTTTTTAATCAGTATTTTTAAATACGAGGCGGAACACAACTGGTGTATGTACTGTATTCATATGCATTTTGAAAAATCCTAGTTTTATGCCAGTATAAATCTACAACAGTTCTAAGTGCTGTCTTGGCTGTATTCCAGTGTTACTGGGAATAACATTTGACCATGTCTTAGCGGTAGCAATGGTAGTTTAGTGTACTGAGTCTCCGTTACCTGAGGTGGCACTCACAACATAAAGTTCAAGTCGAGGCTGAGAGCATCAGGAGAAATATGCAGATGAAGCAGCTAATGTCTTAATGTAATAAAATAATTGTCAGGTAGGGAGGAGGTTCTGAATATTTCTCAGGGATTCGTGCCGGTAAATCACACTGAAAATGATAGTAACTATAAATCCTGCCTGGCGGTTATAGATATCTTGTTCTCCCTCTCTCCACTCCCTTTTTATTTTATTTTTTTCCCCTCTCCAGCTGCCCCTCTTCCTGTCGCCATTTCCTCACATTTAAAAAATGTGATTGCAACTTAAATTCACTTGTGTTTTTTTCATGGGAGGCAGGATCAGATGTCTGGGAAAAAAAGCGAAATAAGGTGAAAGAAGGGATGACCTGTTGCAGCGAGTCCAGAGGAGGGCCATGAAGATGATCCGAGGGCTGGAGCACCTCTCCCATGCAGACAGGCTGAGAGAGTTGGGGCTGTTCAGCGTGGAGAAGAGAAGGCTCTGGGGACACCTTCTAGCAGCTTTCCGGTACCTAAAGGGGGCCTGCAGGAAAGCTGGAGAGGGACTTTATAGAAGGGCATGTAGTGATAGGATAAGGGGTAATGGCTTTAAATTGAAAGAGGGCAGATTTAGATTAGAACTAAGGAAGAAACTCTTCACTCTGAGGGTGGTGAGGCAGTGGAACAGGTGTCCAAGAGAAGTTGTGAGTGCCCCATCCCTGAAGGTGTTCAAGGCCAGGTTGCATGAGGCTTTGAGCAACCTGGTGTAGGGGCAGATGTTCCTACGCATGGCGGGGGAGTTGGAACTGGATGATCTTTGAGGTCCCTTCCAACCCTAACCATTCTATGATTTTGTGATTCTGTGATTGTATGCAGTTATAAGTGTACCATAGGTTTAAACAGAAACCTTACTACTTGAATGGAGTCAAGACAGGTTTAGTCATTTTGTCATAATTGCTTCATTTATGGATGTCGCTGTGCAGACACCACTAAAAAGCAAGAACTGCGTGTTTCATTTAAGTTTATAATTTTTGTTTGCCATCAATTTGGAAACTAAAGGTTGTAGAAGCATAAAGTGTGGGAGAAAAGAGAAAGAAAAGGCTAATGGGGGAAAAATGTTCAGTCCCAGCATTTTAGGCTGCATTGTGTAGAAGGCTCTCTTTTAATCTTATTGTAGCGGGGAATTTTAAGGAATGGGATTTTTACTGATGCTAACCAAAAACTATAAGTAAGAGACTTCAGCTAGCCACAACAGAGAAGGGGTATGTAATAGCTGTAGGCTGTAGTACTCAAGTTTAACAAAAATATATTCAGTGCTTGTGACTATCTTAATACACATATTTTTATGATTTAAAAGCTGCTGTTTTCTTTTCTAGTTCACCTTGATCACCAGAACAAACTCCACAAGAGATGGTAAGCAGTCTTTATGGGTTTCTATGCAATAATTTAGACACATTTTATATACAAAATGCACATAAACACTTTTATTGAACTGTCGATGCAGACATGTAAAAATTAGATGCGAAAGTAGCTAAATTACTTTGAAAATAGAATTCATATTAAAACAGTGAGTGATTTGTCTGCTCCTGGGAAGACTCCAGAGACATAACAGGAAAATAGCAGAGGACTCTGATCATTTGCCTTAGATTTATAGCTTTTGTTTCCTTGAGGAAATATCTTATTTCCATTTATTCTGCAGCTGAAAAAGCACAGACATAGAACTAAGTTAGACTTTAAAGTATTCCTTTTTCCACCCCAATGTAAAACATTTCTGTAATTTCTTTTTCAACAGATGTATTTTTAAAATGCAAATGTAAAAGGGGTTTTCAAGGGTCACTTTCAACAAAAAAGCCACAAAAAGAAGTTGGACAGGCACCAGCATCACAGTTCTGCCTACATGAACTGGCTTTTTGTCTTCCTTTCCCTTAAATTAACAACTGGAGCTGGTCAGCTAGACAAATCAGCCAGCTGGATTCCAGGGCTTTCAGTAAAGTCATCAAGGCCCTTTTTAGAAACATTTTAGAAGAACCAGAGATAATTTTTTGAGCTTTAAAAGAGTATGTTGTCGTCTTCGGAAATACGTAGAACTTAGGAGATACCTGCTTTTGTCAAGCTTCATGGTGTTTCAAAACTGGATTTTTAAGTAGTGGGAAAAATAGACAAAATGTTCTAAAAGTAACTCGTGAATGTATCGGATTTGACAACAGGACATTCTGATCGAGCTGCTGAAGGATGAGGAGTCGGTGTGATGTTCTTAAGCAAAGCAAGAACAGTAAATAAAACATTGGTCATCCTATCTTTTAGGTGGTTGGATGATTAAGAATGAAGAAATTCCATATGGAAGGCAGATGCTTTTCTTGCACTCACTCATCTTAGGAATAAATCTTCTGAAATACATGGTCTTGTAGCAGCGCAGTGTTAGACCAAGAGGAGAATCAGAATGAAGTTTCTATGCCATGAATTGTTACTTTTTGGGAAAGATAATCTGTCTGGACTTTGAAATCACATAGCTGAGTCCCACAGCCCTTCACAAATAGAGTGCAATTTTTGATCAGAAATTCTTAAGGAATGCAGGTTTGTTGTAGTTGGTTTTCTTTAAGGTGTCTGTTAGCCAGAGGTATTTTGTTTTTGAGAGCACTTACCAATGACCTTAAAAAGAGAGAGCGTTTATAGATCTCTTATGGGATAATGGCTCAATGTTGTGGAAAGAAGGGAAATATGAGAGTTACAATTGTTAATCCAAACTCTCTAGCATTTGCATTATTGTCTGAGAACCAGAAGGTGAAAAAAAATCTAAGCAAATGAAATTAATCTCTCCTGATATTGTTAGTATTATATGGAAAGTATTTCTTAGGTTTGTTTTTTCTGTTTTGGTTTTGGTTTTTGTTTTTTCCCAGAGAATTATTCTTTTAAGGCTATGGAATGGTGCCAGCGCAGATCAAGAAAACATGCTTAAAGAGAGATTTTTGTCTTGAATACCTCTTTTTAAAAAAAAACTAATAACTGTAAATGTCACATTTGTCTCTGAAAACCTCAGCTAATCTTACCATAGTTTTGAGTGTTTTCCAAAACATGGCTTAATTAAAATTCTTCCAATTTAAAGCACAGGCATTCCGGTTTGGCCCAAATAAAAGATTTTCTATGGAAATTAAGAAAAGGGGAAAGAAAAAAGCGTTTGCTATTTGTTTTACTTGTTCTAGGCTCTAGTTTACTTTATGGCCTTCTTTTAAGATACTCTGTTATCCCTTCTTTTTGAGAGTAGGATGAGGAGGGAGATGAAATGGCCTGTAAGAAGGGCGCTTAAGGCTAGAGGGACTGTGGGGCTTTGTAGTTGCTAGTGAAATCTAACCAGTGTGAAACTGTGTTTTTTTCAGGAAAACTAAGATTAGCTGGAAGACAGGAGAAGATGTGTTACAGTATGTTTCATTCTATAGACCTGTTTTTCCATGTACTTTTATCACCCCTTTTCATATGCTGATGAGTATAAAAGGGAAGTTCGCTGGCAGCTTGCATTTGGCTGAATACAATCTTGTTTTTGATCGAGGCCATGATGGATATATGAACTTGGCTGAAGTGCCATTTGACCTTTTCTGAGAAACTTATTTTGGCAGGCAAATGGAGGAAATATGTTACTGGATAAAATGAATGCCTTTGTTTATTATGGAGGAATTTTAATCTCTTGTGTTTTCTGTCTGCGGATTTGGAAATCAGGTGTAGGTTGTAGTAGATACACTTTGGAATGATTCAGTTCTTAAAGCTCATGTGAGTGGCTAAGGAAATGTGGAACATGTCCACATAGCAAATCTCCTAAAAAGAACCGTTTCCCACTGTAGTAGCACAAATGCTTTGAAAATTCCTTCTGGACATTATGACTTTGCCATTGCTAGTTCTTCATTGGTGGTTGTGTTGATGCAAAAACAATCTCTTGTCAGAGTAATAAGGTATAGTGCACTTGCATTGTGTTAGTACTTGTCCTTCTCTTTCGGATCTATATGGTTTATCATAGGAAAAGGATGACTAATGATTAAAGGCAGACTTTGTGCTTGCGTTTACAGTGTTTCTTCCCCTCAATTACTGTTTGTTTTCTCTTTTTTTCCTTTTTCTTTTTTTCTTGGTGTTCTTTCCCTCTCTTTTTTTTGGCCACAGGAAGACACCGAGCCATGGTATTCTCAGAAAGTGTACGCAAGGTACTGGAAGCACTATGACTTAGCCATGCGCTGGATGCGTAGACACCAGAAAGCCTACAGGAAAGCCGTGGAGTCCTTTTATCACCTACCATGGCATCCTTCTCCAGCCCCTTCAAGTAGCCGCTACTCAGACTGGGATGGGAACGATCTCCCACACACCCACAACTGTTCTTCCAGCTATAGCCCAGGTGGCAGAGCTCATTACCGTGAGGGTGCTGAGCAGTACACAGGTGCCTACCAAGAGAGGGAGGATGCTGACAGGGACTCCGAAATGGAGGAAGACTCCGAGTCTGAAGGGGAGATAGAATGTGACCTGAGTAACATGGAGATCACAGAGGAGCTTCGTCAGTTTTTTGCACAAACAGAGAGGCACCGGGAAGAACTGCGTAAGTCCATGCTTGTTCTGTGTTTTCTGATGTTTGGTGGCCATAACATTGAGTGGTGGATGGCATCAACATTTATGGGTTTTGTAACAATTCACGTAAATAGGCACTGCAAGTGAGCAAGCCAAACAGAATGAAGCAGGCAAAACTGGTAGGTACACTTAAGTACCATTCATTAGAAATAAATGTCAGAAAATGTGTGAAGTTTTTCTTTTGTTAAGAGAGGGAGAAAATTATGACTGCAAAGACGAGAATAACACACTTGTCCAGAAGTCAGTATTTGTCTTCAATGCTGAAGGAAAAACTCCAGAATTTTTATGGTTAAATCTAGTTAACCTGCTGTATGGCTGAGAGGGGAACCCAGAGGAAGTGCTTTACTACATCACTAAACCCTAGAGTAAACTTCAATGTATTTTATAACAAACATTTTGTTTATTATTCTTTGGCTAACCCAACAGTAAAATTCCATTACTTTTTTCTTCTACCCCTGCATCCCTAGAGTACTCTTCGTTCTGTACTATACCAGAAGTTTCTCTTTGTTTTGCATCTTGATCTAGACCCAGGCCCTTAAGCAGGGAATATAAGCCAAAGACTTAAGATTTTTCTCAGGTCTTAATCCACAGGGGTATTGGTCATCTTTGTTTCTGTAAAATCCTTAAAAGAAATAAAAGATTATGTTGTACTTTATTGACACTTTACTGCATATACAAATGTTGCAAGCAAATTTATTACCTGTTTTAAGAAAGCAGCATGATGAAAATAACTTTCCTAAATGACTCCCATAGGAAATACCCAGAATGAATGTTTAATAGAGCTTTCTCTGCAAAAGCGAAATGTTGTAAAAATGCATAATAAAGGCAATGATTGGAAGGGAGAGAGAAAAATCATGTTATTCTTTGATCAGAGGGTATCTGGTGAGCTGAAACACCTGAGCTGAACTCCACACTTCCTATCAGTACAATGCACACACGGTTGCTCTAGTTAGCAGAGGAAAGTGAGCTAAGGAGCTCAGTAGTAATGCCTGACATGCATCCCTTTCTCATTGTGCTTTTGCAGAACATAGCTTGGTGTTCTCTGTTGAAACATTCCTTTGATGAGGTACAGGATGCTTTAAGATGCTCAGCTACTTCTGGAAATGCAGTTCATTTTCTTTGGATTTATTTTGTCTTTATGGTTAGTGGTGTTTAAAAGTGTGTGAGTGATTAAAGTGGTATTCTGGAAATTGGGAAATCTGGGCTCAGAGATGTTTTCTGTCACAAATATCCTATATGACCTTGGTATAGCTATTTAATCTCTTCCTGACCCTTCACTGGCTGCTCTTGCTAAAAATACAATTTGATTCTTTATAACGAGCAAGTGAATTGGGAAGAGGTTTCTGACTCAGAATACAGATTTTACTTTTGTTCCTTCCACCGCAGTGGTACCTGGAGCCTTTTGGAATAATTAGGTCTCTGCTGCGTGCCATGTACTAGCCTAGTTCTGGGTAAGCGTAACTCCATTCACTTCAGCAGCCCTACTCCAGATCTTTGTGCAAACTTAGGCAGAATCTAGTCTTTAACTACTGCATACCTCAGTTTCTTTAATAGCTTCCCTTATAAAGTAAGAATAAGAATACTAATTGTCAGTGATTCTTCAAAGCATGAAAAAGTAAACAAGTACTTGATTTAATTGAAATTTAAAAGTGCCACAGAACTCTTGGGTGAATGGTGCTATCTAAATGCTAATTTTGTGAGTAATTAAAAATGCAGTATGATATTGTTCAGAAATAATTTTTTCTTGCATGGTGGATGAAAAGGAAAATAGAATAAATTTTTCATTCTGTTGAAGTTTTTCAAAAGAAGAAACAGCAGCAGGAGGAGGAGGGGAAAATCATTGTTTCCCTGATGGTGTGGAAATGAGCTGGTGCAGAGACCGTGCAGTAGGCAGTACCACTCTACTGTAGGAGGTATCATTGTTAGTTTTCCTGGATGCTGTTTCTGAACAAAATGAAATTTAGGGGTTCATTAAGCTGCAATCCATAATGACGCTATCATGTTATATCTTTCATACTGTGCTGAAGAATGATTGTCATTCTGCATCAATGCTCAGTAAGTTGGAGATAGTACATCCACAAAAGAAACCCAGGATTACTTAAGTATTTCCTCTCTGATTCCTTTTCCTTTTAATCTCAAACTGTATGTCCTGGGCTATCCCCCCCCACCCTAGAATCAGAATCGTAAAGAAAGTTGGGCACTATAAAGCTCAGTAGTGCCTGAAATTTAGGCATCCATCTCTGGCAGAAACATTTGTAATGTTGAGGTAAGAGTTTTACATTTTCTCTTAAACTGAATGTTTGGGTGTTTCAAAGGGGAATACCAGTAGTGACCTTGATGATCAGTTGAAGCCAGCTGTTCGGGAACGTGAAGGGGAAGGCTGTGCCTCACGTTTTCTTTCTCTGGCGTACATAAGGGGCTCCAGGTGGAGATCACAACTTTTGACCCTTGCACCTTGATAAGCACTTGGGAGCAGACACCTGGCTTGCTATTCTTTTAAGATGAGTGCTATGCAAGAGTCTGATATATGTTTATTGGCAACTTAGTGAATTGTGAGACACGTGGGAAAATAAAAGCGATGGGACAAATAGAAAGGGCATTTTGGCACATACAGAAGGGGATACTAGTATGGAGGGTGGCGGTCTGATTTATCTTTGTGAGGGGTGATTTTCATTAGTCTGGTGGTTTTCAAGCCCTGCAAAATTAGGAAATACTACATAGCCTTAATACAGCTATTTTGGACATGCATGATGAAAGTCTCGATTTACCCAGTAGAATACGACTGATTCCCACACATGACCTGTGTCTTATCATCAAGGGTAATCAAATGGACTAAAAGGAATCCTAGCTGATGTCAGACTCTTCACTTCTGATGCCTGATCTAGAGTCTGATGGAGATAAATGCAATCACAAACATCAGAGGATAAGATCTTGCAAACTTTAACTACTAAGACTTCAATATGCTTGAGATGTAGGTGGGAGAGGCCTTTGTGTCTGGGCAGTGAAATACAAGTCTTAATGCTAATTGCAAAGAGAAGAGTTTCAAAGACAAGAAAATAGTCCTGTCAGACTAGTGACAGAAGAAACTTAAGGTTTATTTCATTTTTTAATAACTACCACAAATTTGAAGAACAAGCAGATTCCTAACTTTTGTAGCAATTTTTTTTTGTTTGTTTTCACAGTGGGTATTTGCAGTGATTGGCTGACTTGCACAGTAAAGCCTTTGAAACTGGCAAACCCTGAGCCTTGCTGCATGATTTAACACTTCAGCAGTAACACAGTTGTTCACAAACAACCTCTTTTTAAAAACAGCCTCCTTTTTTGTCTTTGAATTCATGTCAAATTCTTACTAGTTTTTATATTCATGTCATGTGTTGCAATCACATTATGTGTTCCTGGAATGCCCTGAAGTAATTGTGAGCAGAATTTTGCTGAGGCTGTGTGAACTTAGACATGTTAATGCACTACAAACTTATCTTGTAGTCTAGATACACTGGGCATTTGGTTAAAATCCCTCACAGACAGTTTTAATTTCTTTTCTCTTTGGTTGTTTCTTCATATGCATTCATAATTATCTAGTGATTCAGATTTTTTAGGGTGTTTTGTTGTCAGGCTGATCTGTTGTTTTGGTTCTTCATGTAACTGGTGATCCTAATACACTGTGCTTCTTGGGGATGTTTTTAGTTGCACTGAAAGGTCTTCCCTCTGGCTGTTGAAAAGCATGGAGTTGTTTTTCTGGGTTACCATACCTGTCAGACCTAGGTAGTGTACTGAATCCTCCAAGCATCCTCGATGTGAAGGACAGAATACAGTAAGTTGCCTTTTTATATTTGTAAGAATTAAAAGGAAAAAATCTAAGAAAGGAAGATTCACAAGCCAAACAATTCAGTAAATAGGCTAATTGCACATATTTATTACACTTTTAAATTTAGCCTTTGAAATGAGTAGTTTGTCTTGATGCAGTTTTCCTTTGTTCCGTCTTTACATGTAAGAGAAAACGACTTCTGTAATTGAGTGAGTACAGCATTGCGAGTACATTGAGATCCATTCTGTCTGTAGTAGTCAACAGGCAATGAGACTGTGTCCTTTATTTAAGAACAAAGAAAAGCAAAGGAAAGTACCATCATATCAGTTCATTACTGGAGGATAATAGTCTGTCAATTGTTAATGCTATGACTAGTTTTTTCCATTAAAGCCTTTGTTTGTGTTGCTGACACATACCCTCCAGCTTTTCCCAAAATAATGTCGTCTCAACTTAAAATTTTCATGCCAGATAGAAAACCTTTAAAAAAATTGAAAGGAAATAGTGAATGAAGATGTTTGTTTCAGATCTGCAATTTGTAGGTTTTTTCCCTTGGGTTTCTTTTTCTCTGAAACATGACGATTGCCACTGCATCTTCCGTGAAGAGGGTGTACTGGAATTTTCCGTGTTTTGAATAGTAGCAGATCCATGAAGCTTTTGGTTTTAAGGCCTAGATGCTTCATTGGAAAACAGACTTCGATGCAAGTTTTTTGCCACTGTGTTTTCCTTCCTTCCTTCGCTTTTGGTAAACGCTTGTCACTGTTCCTTGTCTGTCTTTTTCTCCATCGGACTGTAGTTCAGATTCTTACTCTTGGTCACCAGCATCTTTTTTGTTTGTTCTTTGCTACCCTAACTGTCAAAGCAGTGTGGATGGTGACCTTACAAATGTCTGCTTAACTTCCTTGGCTTTGTCAGCCTTGCTGTCACGTGAACTTTTAACACTATCTTTAGAAGTTGAATTGCTGAAGCTTCTGAGAAATGCCTGTGAAATAAGAGTGTTCTCTGCAGTATGTGTGGGTCCTTGAGAGATGCTTTTGAAGCACATTCTTTTGTGAACTGAAGGAGAAATGTGAAAGGCTTTCCTTTTGTACCACATCTCTGCTCTTGATGATTGAACCTTTTATTGTGTAGCAGCAGAATCTTGTCAAGTGCACACATTGTATCCTTTT